TTGGAACTCCGGGGCAAGTGGGAAGCCTGCCAGCCACACTCCAGAAGCGAGCCTGGAGCCTTCCACGGGGCTCAAGGCCAAGTGGAAGCCAGGGAGCGGATGGGCCAGGGACCCCCGGGGCTCCACACACTCTGGAACCAGGGAAACTACCACCTGTCCAGTATGCTGAAGACCAGTACAGGTAAATATTTAGGAGAGAGACAACACACAGTAGGATTTTGGGGGCCAGAGGCTTTTTGGGGGGTATTCCAGAAGAATTAGTAGGTGAAGAATTTGGATGCAAATGAGACCCCCTGATCCAAGCTTCATCTTTCTTTCTTTCTTTCTTTCTTTCTTTCTTTCTCTCTCTCTCTCTCTCTCTCTCTCTCTCTCTCTCTCTCTCTCTCTCTCTCTCTCTCTCTCTCTCTCTCTTTCCTTCCTTCCTTCCTTGTTTTTGTTTTTCCAAGACAAAGTTTTCTCTCTGGAGTTCTGATCATGCTGGGTCCTGAACTCAATCTATCCATCAGTCTGGATTGGAACTCACAGAGATCCGCCTGCCTCTGCCTCCTGAGTGCTGGGTTTAAAGGTGTGTGCCACTCACCAGGCTCTAAACTTCACTTAAAAAAAGAATACCTTTAACTCAAGCACTCACAAGGTAGAGGCGAGCAGATCTCTGTGAGTTAGAAGCCAGCCTGGTCTGCAAAGAGAGTACCAGGACAGACAAGGCTACACAGAGAAACCCTATCTCAAAAGACACAAGGACAACAACAACAAAAAGCAGTATAGAAGAGTATAAAAGGGGCTGGAGAGATGCCTCAGTGGTGTAACTCCTGTCCCAGTGGACCCTCCTCACTTCCACTGGCACCAGGGACACACGTGTAGTGCACACATATGCAGGCAAACATTCATACATATAAAATACATACTTTTTTTTTGGTTTTTCGAGACAGGGTTTCTCTGTGGCTTTGGAGCCTGTCCTGGAACTAGTAGACCAGGCTGGTCTCGAACTCACAAAGATCTGTCTGCCTCTGCCTCCCCAGTGCTGGGATTAAAGGTGTGCACCACCAACACCCGGCTTAAAATACATAAATTTTAAAAAATTAAATCTTGGAAAAAAATAACTACTTCAAAGAATACATAATGGGTTGGAGAGATGGTTCAGTGGTTAAGAGCATCTTCTGTTCCTGAACAGGATGGAGAACCACAGCCTCCACACAGCAGCTTGCAGCCATCTGTAACTGCAGTTCCAGGAGGTCTAGAGCCTCTTCTGACCTCCCCAGGCAATGCATGCCTGTGATGCACTTATATTCACGAAAACCACTCATACACACAAAATAAAAATAAATTAATCAACATGTGATGGCTCGTGCCTTTAATCCAGCGCTAGGGAGGCAGACATAAGCAGATCTCTATGAGTTTGAGGCCAACCTGGTCTACATAGTGAGTTCCAGGCCAGCCGAGGCTACATAGTGAGGCCCCCATCTCAAAAAATAATTAAACAATCAAGGGGAGATGATTCCTTGCTTAAGAGCACTTGTTCCTTTTCCAGAGGACCCAGTTGGTGTCCCAGAACGTATTGGCAGCTAACAACTGCCTGTAATTCCAGTTCCAGGGATCTGACACCCTCTTCTGGCCCCATAAACACCAGGCATTCATGCCGTACACTGACATACATAGAAGCAAAAGACCTAAAGACATAGGATAAAACAAAATTAAAAATGTAACAAAACTTTAAAGAAAGAATACATAGAGATATTCTTAAAAACAAAACAAAGCAGGGACCTGAGAGATGGCTCAGTAGGTAAAGGCACCTGCCACCAAGCCTTACAACCTGAGTTCAATCCCTAGAACCCACACAGGAGAAGGAGAGAACTGATTCCTGCAAGTTGTTCTCTGACCTCCACATTTGACATGGTTCGTGTTTCCATGCGCATGCACACGCACACAATTTAAAAATGCAAAAATACAATTTAGAAATGAGGGGAATAAAAATATATGAAAATACTACATTTGTTCATATGAAATAACCGTGCTCAGTGAGTCCGAGTGAGTGGGGGATGGAAGCTGCAATTCCCCTATAAATATTTATGGACGACTATAATCCAACTTCATTACAAGGCTTCTCCTAGCCTTTCATCACCCTGGCTATTGCTCTGGGTTGGGTGAGAAGTCCTTTCTCTAATCAAGTTCTGATGCTGTTGAGAACCATGTCTGGTGTTGGGGCTCAGTTGGTAAGTGTTCATCTAGCGTGGTGAGGCCCTGAGTTCCATCTTCAGCACCACATAAAGAGTGTGGTGTGGCTGAGTGATAGTGTCATAAGCCTTTTATCCCAGCACTCGGGAGGCAGAGACAAATGGAACTTTGTGAGTTCAAGACCAGCCTGGTCTATTGAGTGAGTTACAGAACAACCAAGGCTACCCAGGAAAACACTGTCTCCAAAACCAAAACAAAACAAAGCAAGCAAACAAACAAAAAGAGTGTGGTGTGGAGGCAAGGGGGTCTGAAATTCAAGGTCATCCTCTGCTACAAGGCCAGCTTGGGCTACATGAGACCCTGTTGGAAAGAAAAAAAGAAGTGTGTGTGTGTGTGTTTGTGTCTGTACAAGGATAGCTCAGGACTTTAGCTTTACCTAAATCAGCCCTAAATCTAAGAGTAGAGGAAAAATTAACTATTTATAAAGGCTCCTTCTCTTTTAAAAATTATTTATTTTATATTTACAAGTGTTTGTCCACATGTATGTTTGTGAATGGTGTCTGCACCTGGTGTCTTGGGACTGGAGTTATAGATAGATGTGAATCATCTTGTGGATGCTTGGATCTGAACCCCGTTCCTCTGGAAGAGCAGTCAGTGCTCTTAACCACCGAACCATATCTCCAGTCCTCCCTGTATTTTTTATTATTGTTTGTCTAAGATAGAGTGGCAGTTCTCAACCTGTGGGTCTTGACCCCTATAGGAATCACCTAAGACCATCAGAAAGCACAGATATTCAGATTAGGATTCATAACAGTAGCAAAATTATAGTTGTGAAGTAGAGACAAAATTAATTTTATGGCTGGGCAGGTCACCACAACATGAGGAACTGTATTAGCTCCCAGTAATTACTCTGTACCCCAGGCTGGCCTCAAACTCAAGCTCCTCCCAAGTCAGCCTCCTGGGAGCAAGGATCAGAGTGTCTATGCACATCATTCTATACCCTCTCTTTAAAGGGCCTTATAATTGCAACTGTTTCTTCCAGATAACCAGCATGCGGCCTCTTCCATGGACACTCTCCGCTGTCTCTCTCTCCCATTGATTCTGCAATAGCTAGTTTAACGGTTAATTTAATGACTATTGATTGGCTAGAGGAACAGGACAGTGGTTCTGATCACTGGCAACTGAGTGCTTTAGGGACAGACAGAATAAAAATAGCCACTTAACTAGAAATAGAGTGTTCTGGTTCAGAACAGAGAGTGGGCGTCTCAGATGACACACATGGAGTTCAAGTGCCACGGAGAGGAGACTCGTGCTCTGACATCTGGAGGCAAGCGTCCATGAGTCATGTCCATGTGACATGTATGACAAATCTTTGTGGGCAGCAGAGATGAATGAATGAGTCCCCAAACTACAGTTCTGTGTGAGTGTATGTATGTATGTGAGTGAGTGTGTGTGTGTGTGTGTGTGTGTGTGTGTGTGCGTGCTCATACTTCTGTGCACCTCCCTTTGGAGGCAGAGCTGACATTGAGTCACCTTATTTTTCTTTTCTTTTTCTTTCTATTCACTTTTTAAAATTTATTTTATTTTGCCAGGCAGTGGTGGTACATTCCTTTAATCCCAGCACTCCAGAGGAGAGGCAGGCAGATCTCTGTGAGTTCGAGGCCAGTCTGGTCTACAAAGCGAGTTCCTGACAACCTCCAAAGCAATACAGAGAAACCCTGTCTCAGAAAAACCAAAAAAAATTATTCTATTTTGTATGTGCCTGAATACACATATGTACGTCACATGCACACAGAGGTCAGAAGCGGCATCAGATCCACTGCAACGGAAATTAAAAACAGTTGTTAGTTGACGCATGGATGCTGGGCTGAGGACTGAACCCAAGTCCTCTTCAAGAACAAGCATTCTTAACCTCTGAGCATCTCTCCAGGCCCACGAACCTTAGTTTTGGAGACATGGCGTGGTTGGAATGAGAATGGCCCGCACAGGCTCGGATATTCGAGTGCTTGGTCTGTAGTCGGAGGAACTGTTTGGAAAGGATTAGGAGGGGTGAAACCTCTTCTTCTGCTTCCTGTTTGTGGACTGGGATATAATCTCTTGGCTACTGCCCCCACACCATGGCCTGCCTTCCTGCTGCCATGCTCTCAGCCATGATGGTCAGGAATTCACCCTCCCTAACTGTAAGCTCCATTAAACTCTTTCTCCTACAAGTTGCCTTGGTCATAGAATAGTAAAAGTAACTAAGTAACTGAAATTGTAGAGTTGAACTGCAGAGTAGCTACAATTGAAAATTACAATTTGAACTATAATTGAAAAATAAGAACTAGAGTCTCTCACTGAGGCTGGAGTTTGCCCATTAGCTCCACAGACTGGCCAGAAAGCCCCAGGGAATCCTCCTGTCTCTGTCATCCAGCTCTGGGATTACAGGTGTGTGTTGCCATGTTCAGCTGTCACCATATGGGTGCTGGAGAGCTGGACTCAGAGCAACCAAACATGAGTCTTAAGCGCTTTATCCACTGAGTACTGATTTATAAAATAATAATAATGATAATAGTAATAGTAATTATTATTATCATCATCATCATCATTATTATTATTATCGCAGGGTTCACTATGTAGCACACCAGAACTGCTGTGTAGACCAGGCTGGTCTCAAACTCACGGTACTCTGTCTGCCTCTGCCCTCTGACTGCCAGGATTTCAGGCTTCACTACTATTGATTACTTTTTTATTTTTGAGACAATGTTTCAGTAGGTAGACTCACCTGGACCAGAGTTCTCTATCCTTAGGCCTCAGACTCCCAAAAGAATTGGAGTTCACCACCATAATAGGCTCAAACATCAGTTTAATAATATAATAATATAATAAACAGTTTCTTCATCAGGGCAGGGCAGTGGTAGAGGCCTTGTCTAGCAGGTGGTAGGCCCTGGGTTCGATCACCAGTACTGGAGAAGGAGGCGGGGGGTGGAGAGAAGAGGGAAAAGAGGAAAAAAGAAAACAAATAAGTTCAGGATTATTGTGATTCTATCTCTTTCTAGAAGTGTGTGTAATATAAAAAACACTTGCAGGCTAATTTGCTCTCTCCATGAATTAATAAGGTGCGGTCTGTCTTGCCTGAACCTCAGGGTGCTAAGAGAGCTAACTGCCTTCTGTGCAGCTGGGACTGTGCCTAGCCTTGTGGCCACGCCCACGCCCTCTGCACAGACAGGTGCAGCAGCCACTAGGGATACCTGCCCCATGGGAGAACCCTAGGGATTCAGTATGGTTTCTCATATCCCCATCCCCCATTTCTAAAACATATCCAAAAAGAGGCTTCAGTGGTCTTTCCTCTAGCTGACCCATAAGTGGTTAAAACCGTAGCAACAGGGTCCCTTCACTGAAAACTCTGGAATGTTCCAGCAAAGGTTTCCTGAGCGCTGGTGAGGAAGTTACCCACCCGAGGCAGAGGCATAGGGGGCACCGGGTGCCACTCTGCAAAGCTGAGGGTTATGGCTAGGAAACAGTGCCACCCTATGGCACCCAGCTCTGAAGAGTTCACACAGTTGTTCTGGGTTTTTTTTTTTCTGTTTGTTTTTTTGGTTTTTTTTTTTTCACTCTGACTTCAACACAGCCCGGCTTGGACACAGGACAGCAGCTGAGGCTATCCCAACTCTGATCCATTTTGACAAAGGAGGATCTGGAAGCTTCTAGCCCACATCTAGTGCAACCGGGATGTGGCAGAGTCCCATCTCAAAATCAAGTTTTGCCTCCAGAGGCTCCATCTAGACACAGGATCATACAGCCCTCCAATGATCTGTGAAAGGCATTCACAGAAATTGCACTCAAAACCCAAAGAAGAGTGTCACTTTCTTCCTGAATGAGGCTTACTAGTGGAGCTGCATAGGTCAGAGACGGGACGGAAGCAGGGAGGCACCCAGAAGGTGGAGCCAGGAGGATTGAAAGTTTGAGGCCAGCATAGGCTATTATACAGCAAGGCCCTGTCTCAAAACTAAGATGAGACTCTTTATTTTAGAGAATTTTTTTAAATTTATTTTTCAGTTTAAATTTAGATAAGAAACAAGATTGCTTCACAAGTCAGTTCCAGGTCCCTCTCCCTTTCCCTCCCCTACTCCCGTGCCCGCCCCCCAACACCCCCCCATTATCCCCTCATTTTCCCAGGGAGGGTGAGGCCCTCCATGAGGGTGTCCATAGTCTTTCATTTCATACAGGGCAGGGCCTAGACCCTCCCCCCAAGAGTTCAGGGTGAGAGTGCACCTCACATTGTTGGATGGGAGTCCAAAGTCCGTGTGTATACTCGGGATGAGTACTGATCTGCTGCCCAAGGCTCAATAGATTCCCTAGGCCTCCTCACTGACACCCACATTCAGGGGGTCTTGACCAGTCCAATGCTGGATTCCCAGGCTGATGCCTGGGATTCAAGAGTTAACCTTTGTCAGGTCAGCTGTTTCTGGGGGTTAAACCAGCCCAGTCTTAATCCCTTTGGTCATCCCTCTCTGTTACTGGCTTTCTTGAGTTCAGCTCAGTACTTAACCGAGGGAGTCTGCCTCTTCTTCCATCAGCCACTGAATGTATTTTAGAGAATTATAAAGTCACAATTTTAACAGACACTAGAAAAAGTTCCCAGCTATGTCGAGCAGCAATGTCTCAAAGAACTATAGCCAGCCCTTGGGAGTCTCTCGTTTCCCAGCTCACCTGCATTGCTGGTTTTATATGTGTGTGTGTATTCATATCTGCACACCCAGTTCCACGAGACGTGGGCACCACCACCACCACGAGGACCCCTGTGCTCATAGCCACGGCCCCACTGACTCTCCTGCATGCTGTGCCCCCCCCATCCTGTGTGTCTGCAATTTTCTCATTGCAAGGCCGTTACATAAGCAGGGCCTCGCGGTGTGTGAGCCTCCTGGGGTTGGCTTCTTTCCACTCCGTGCTGCCCTCCCGAGACTCATCCTACTTGTGTATGAAAACTCTGCACCTCCTTATTGCTAAACAGTATTCTGCCTCGTGGGACTTTCGAAGAAGACAACAGTTTATTTTATTCACTGATTTATTCTGGTTTGTTGGGGCAGGGTCTCACTTTGTAGCCTAAGCTGGATTGAAACACACTGTGTACTCCAAGCTGGCATATAAATTACTCTGTAGCCCAGGATGGATCTGAACTCACTATGCAACCCAGGTTGACTTAGTATGTAGCCCAGGCTGGACTCAAACTGTGCACCCTCCTGCTTCTGCTTACCCAGAGCTGGGATTTCAAGTGTGTGTCATGATGCCCAGCCAAGGGAGGGTTTTTAAAGGGTGGGGACCACTTTTACCTAAAGAGTAATCTGCTCTTCTGAATTTTTGACACACTCACAAATAAATTCATCTCTTGATTCTTACAAATTCAATATTATATTTGGCATTGTGTGGTTTTGCTGTTGTTTTCTTGTGGATTTTGTTGTTATTGTTGTTTGAGACAGGGTTTCTATATGTAGCTCTGACTGTCCCGGAACACGTTCTATAGACCAAGCTAGCCTAGAACGCAGAGATCCACTTGCCTCTGCCCCCTGGGTGCTGGGATGAAAGGGGTGTGCCACCAACGCCCGGCCCTTTCTTCCTCTTTTTTTAAGATAACTTTTCACCATGTAGCCCTGGCTGGCCTGGAAATCACTATGTAGACCAGGCTGACACAGAACTCACAGAGTTCCTGTCTCTACATTCCAACTAATGGGATGGGGTCACGCCTTTCAGGCCACACCTCCTAATCCTTGTCAAGCAGCACCACTCTCTAATGATCAAATATATGAGCCCATGAGGAGCATTCTCTTTTTTGGGGAGGATTGCTTATTTGTTTGCCTGTTTTGGTTTGGTTTTTTGTTTTTTTCAGGACAGGATTTGTCTGTGTAACAGCCCTAACTGTCCTGAAACTCCCTCTGTACACCAGGCTGGCTTCAAACCTACAGAAATCCACCTGCCTTTGTCTCCCTAGGGCTGGGGTTGAAGGTGTGTATCAAAACACCTGACTGGGCCATTCTTTTGTTTGTTTGTTTTTTGTTTTTACGAGACAGGGTTTCTCTGTATTGTTTCAGAGGCTATCGGTCCAGCCCGGCCTCGAACTCACAGAGATCCGCCTGCCTCTGCCTCCCGAGTGCTGGGATTAAAGGCTTGCGCCACCACCGCCTGGCTTGACTGGGCTATTCTTATTCAAACCACCACAGATAAGAAAGCCTAACAGCTTGATTTGAGCCCCAGAACTCACATGAAATTGTCTTCTGACCTCCAAATGCACACCAGGCACCCCTATCCTCCCCACCCCCCCACCTGATGGAGGAAGTCCTGTGTATATGTCAATAAAACACTGTTGGCCAATAGGGAACCAAGATAGGTGGGGCTAGGAGTCCAGGAGGACTCTGGGTAGGAGAAACACAGAGAGTTAAGATGTAATGCCATGGGGTAGGAAGCCCGGAAAGTTCTCTGGTAAGAGAAATACTTAGATTAACAATTATGGGGGTAATTACTTAAGTCAGAGCTAGCCAGGAAGAAACAAGCAAGGCCAACAGCTTCATAATTAATATAGCCTCCTGTGTGTTATTTGGGACTGATGTGGCTCTGGAATCAGGCTGGCGGGAAGGCTTCTCTCAAGGAAAAGGCTTCTCTTTTTTCTTTTTTCTTTCTTTCTTTCTTTCTTTTTTTTTTTTTTTTTTTTTTTTGGTTTTACGAGACAGGGTTTCTCTGTATTGTTTTGGAGGCTGTCGGTCCAGCCCAGCCTCAAACTCACAGAGATCCGCCTGCCTCTGCCTCCTGAGTGCTGGGATTAAAGGTGTGCGCCACCACCGCCCGGCTCAAGGAAAAGGCTTCTCTTTACACCCACCATACACACATCATAGATACAACAATAATAAATAAAATAGCCAGGAATTGTGGCACAGAACTTTAATCTCAACACTTGGGAGGAAGAGATAGGTGGATCTCTGTGAGTTCAAGGCCTACATATAGAAACACTGTCTAGAAATAAATAAATAAAAATAAAAACAATATAAAAACTAAAACTAGCCAGGTACTTTAATCTCAGCACTAGAGAGACAGAGGCAGGCAGATCTCTGAGTTTCAGGCCAGCCTGGTCTACAGAGTGAGTTCCAGGATAGCCAGGACAGAGATGTCCTGTTTCAAACTGCTCCCCACAAAAAAATTAAAACCAAAGAAAAAGAAAGACAAAAAGCAAATGAAGCCAGTGGTGGTAACACAGGACTGTTCTGCCAAGCTACTCAGGAGGCTGAGGCAGGGGTATCACAAATTCAAGGCCACCTGGGCTTCAGAGTGAGCTGTGGGCTCCAGTTCTAACTGCACAAGAAGAAAAGATGTTGGGCAGTGGTGGCGCACGCCTTTAATCCCAACACTTGGGAGGTAGAGGCAGGTGGATCTCTGTGAGTTCGAGGCCAGCCTGGTCTACATCTACAAAGTGAGTTCTAGGACAGGCTCCAAAGCTAGACAGAGAAACCCTACCTCCAAAAAACAAAACAAAACAAAAGAGGCGGGGGGGGAGGTGATGTGGAGAGATAGCTCACAGGTTAAGAGCACTGACTGATCTTCCAGAGGTCCTGAGTTCAATTCCCAGCAACTACATGGTGGCTCACAACCATCTGTAATGAGATCTGGTGCCCTCTTCTGGCCTGCAAGCACACATGCAGACAGAATACTGTATACATAATAAATAAATCTTAAAAAAAAAGAAAGAAAGAAAACCCATATAAATAAATAAATAAATAAATAGATAAATAGATAAATAGATGGAGAAGGAAGGGGGTGACTTAGAAGCCAGACACAGTGGTGCTGCCTATAGTCTCAGCTCTTTATCTGAGGGCAAAAGATTAGGAGTTTAAGGTCAGTCTGGGAAATGTAGGGAAATCCAGTCTCAAGGTAAAACAATGGCCACCACTACCACAGCAATAATAAAGAAGTTGGTCTT